CAAAAGCACAGTAAAAATAATAAAATAAAACAATCATGGAGGCTGAAAATATTGGGGCCGAGGAGTAAAGTTACATGAAAGAAGACGTGACTAAGTCAGCCGGAATTATACTATGTAGTAAAGTCATTTTACACACATGATACAATAGCAGGAAGGCATCTTCCGTCACATGGGACCCAATCCTTGCCCACCCCCAAGAAATAATCAGCTTGAGTCAAAGCAAGGAGGAGCACCCAAGTTACCCTGGCCTCAGGTTATTCAGACATCAGCCCTGTTCCTCAAGGCTTAAGTTTTGACTCCCCATGGGGACCTCAAGGGGACCAGATTATTGAGTTTGCAATCCATGGGATAGTCAACATGACAGAGAAGGAAAATAGGTAAAAGATAAGAAGTGACTGAAAACATTCAAAGCCAACAGCAGGAGAAATGCAATGTGAGTAGTCATCCTTGGAATAATGCTTCTACACAGGTGAAAAGTGGCAGCCCGTAAAGCTAGAGTTAGGTCCAGTTGTCTTCTGTAGCATACGGGAACAGGCACAACTGCCAATTTTCCTTCTCTGGAGAAGAGCAGCTGTTCCTTCTGTCATGAGCTGCAATTCTTGGAGCAAGCACAGCAGTCTATAAATTTGGCAAGTTGAATTAGGCTCATATATTACTTGAGGAATTCCTTATTCAGGGAGTTCCATAATAAGATTTGACAGCCCTATCATCACCATGGCTGATAAATAAGCTGAATTTTTAAGGTCCTAAAAGAATTAAGGACAAGCAGACAAGAAGTGAGAACTAGCTGGGTGTGGTGGCACATGCCTGTAATCCCAGCAGCTCAGGAGGCTGAGGCAGGAGGATTGAAAGTTCAAAGCCAGCCTTAGCAACTTAAGCATAAGGCTCTAAAGAAACTTAACAAAACCCTGTCTCAAAACAAAACATAAGAAGGGCTAAGGATGTGGCTTAGTAATTAAGTACCCCTGGGTTAAACCCCTGGTACCAAAAGAAAGAAAGAAGTTAGAATTGCTGCCTCTTTGCAAACTATACCTCAGAGCTTCACTTTCTATTATTTTGTGTTTAACTTGTTATTGAATATTAAGCTGAACATACAAACTTAAAGACAGTGAGAAAACTGCCCTTTTGGCTTAGCTTAAGCAATTATGCCTAAGTTTTCTTCAATGATCAAAATTGCTTCTTTTTCTTTTACTAGTATCAGTCAAATAAAATGTGCATGACATGGAAAACCTATTCAGATCTCTAGACCATCAAATAGCTTGATTTTCTCCCGAATTTATTTATCATAATATCCCACCTGGATTGATTTAGATAAGAGTAGAATTAAAAAAAAAAAAAGCAAAGAGGAGCACACAGTATAGGCAAAGGTGATGTCCATGACCAGTTGAAGTTCTAAGATAGCACCTCTTATCCTTCCCTTTGCTCTTGTCTTGGTACCTATCTCCTTCTGTTTCTTGGAAACATGGAAGGAAGACACACAGAGGACATAATCCCAACCCTGCCAAAGTGGAGTTTTTCTTCCTTGTTCATTATTTGGCTTAGCTTAAGCAATTAGAAAGTAAAGGTAGAGAACTCTTTCTGGTCCTGATTTCATGAGGAATGTCTATTGTTGGTGGCTCCAGGGAGCTGGACACCTGAGAATCAGGACAAGTTCTAATACATAGGAAAATGCAGATAGTTTGGGAGTTAGAGTGTTATGATTAATTGCATGTATAGCAATGCTCAAGTGATTCTTAGCAATGCCTAGTACTTTGTGAAGGGTCCATAATGTAATCTCTTGGCCTAAGGGATTAAAAAAAAAAATACCCCTGCTCTTTAGCCACTCTGTAATTCCTTTTTCTCATCTATAAATTAAGGTTAAAAATAACACATTGGTTCAAATGGTGACTACAAGGAATCAATGAGGTCATGCTGCAAAGAACTATGTAGGGCTCAATGCAAATCCCCTGAATATTAGTTATGACAGAATATTCCTGAACTGCATGGTAGTTTAGGGATTATGCAGAAGATAGGGTTTGGATTGGTTTTCCTTTGTTTCTTCTGTTCCTCTCTTTCTCACCTCATGTCCAGCCTTCTCATCCCACATTGTCTGCTCTTAAAATTTGGTCATTACATTGATATAAGTGAGAGAACTACATGGCTCCAAAGTTAAGAAAAGCAAATAAAAAAAAAGGAATGGGTAAAACTGGATTCAGCATAGATAGGAAGAATCAGGAGTCTTATGATCCAATCCTACTAGAGTTCTTTTTCCTTCTCTCCTGCAATCTTTCACTTCTTAGGAAAAGGCCCTTATGTGGCACATCATGGGTTGTTTTGAAATGTGAGTAAAATATGATCCAGAGACCACAATCAAGTCCACACACGACCTGAAGCCTCTGTTCAGCCCAGCCTCTTCAGAGGAAAAAAGAATATTGCATCAAACTAAATGTGCTGGGACCTAGACATTTAATTATATAGCTTCACCATCCTAAAGGAGGCTGTCACTAATTTAAAATTGTCTGGCTATTGCCTACACAAGTAGTTATGTTTGCAAGAGAAGAGAGCAAGCCCAAATTTGACCATAATGACCAATGCAATGCCCTCAATAGGTAAACTAAGACACAAGTCACCTTACTTCCATCCTGTGGGATTGTGACATGAACTATGAAGTAACTTTCATGGGTAAAGACTACAGGCTCTCTATAAGATATCCTAGTAACTAGCTATCCACTGGTTACTGCCACTCTGGTAACATGTATTAAGTCTTGATCCCAAGAGAAATCTTGCTCAAGAGAAACAGTAAAAGAGGTAAATAGAGAGCCTACATCCTGGGAACAAATTTTTACCCCTCACACCTCAGATAGAGCCCTAATATCCAGA